AAAAGAATTTTATAAACATAATTCAAAGAAATTAAAAAGAATTTAAAAAAATTTAAACACATTATTAAAAAATATTAATTCCTTTTAATGCTTTTTTGTAACTTATAGGCTTTTTAAAAGCTTTGGCCTTTGTTAGATCAAAATAACTTAAAAATCATAAAATTAGAACTTTTTCAAGTTCGAATAGAAATATCAATAATGTTGATAACATTGCAAGAATGTCAGATTTTATCATTTGGGATACAATAATGATTCATATTTAAGTTGAGATATGTGATTTAAATTTTAAATATATATTATATTTTTTAATATATAAAAACTTTTTTGTTTAGTTTTCAAATTATGACATGCATGCACATACCTAGTGACGATCGCACAACCATTACATTTTCATCGCAATTACACCCTTGGTGAGAAAGTAAGTTGAAACTCCGAAGCCCTCCTGACTCTTCGGGCATATGGAAACAGATCTCGATGCTGAAATTACAATACTGATAATAAGAAATAGCAATTGTGTGCGCTTTGACGCATCATGAAAAATGTTTGAGTCGGATTTTTCGCGCGCGCGAGATCAATCTTTAAACTAATATGTAACAAATATAAGAGCCACTGAATTATGATATAAGAAAATTATATATCATTGCTAATGAATTATTATGATTATGAATAATCAACTAATTATGGAATCAATAACTAATTGTAGAATATGCATTCTGTATTTGCTCAAGTAGAAGTAAGAAACATAAATCATCATATAGGTAGAGGAAAGTCGCTGATACTGATATGGGTTTCCTAAAGTGACACTCCCTTATTTCTCAAAAATTATTGCACTTTATTAATACTAATAAAATCATGATTTTTTTTAATTAAGGAAAACGTATAATTCGTATATTTGTGGCTTGTTTATACGAAATCAGCTAAAAATAAATTCTATGAACGCAAAAATAAAATTCTTGCGATTTTCTTTTGCAAATTGCGTAATGTAAATAATAATATGTAAATAATAAGACTATATTGTTAATAATATTACGTCATTTTAAATACTTGTAGTTTCCTAAATTAGTTTTTATTTATATTATTTTCTTTCATAGTTTTTTCATAATACGGGTTTAAATATAAAATCGGGGCAATATAAACCGGCACACCCTA